TGACCTGTAATCCTCCCCATAACTGAGGAAAGGATGCGGTTTGAACAAAGACTTGTTCCAAATGTGGCCAGAGTTTTTTGTTTGTTTGCTTGCTTGCCCTAAATCTACCTGTTGTAGGCACAGAGGGTCTTGTTTTTTTTTTTTTTTTTCCTCTTACATGGGAAATTCTTATCTAGAAAGTGAAAAGCATCTTGGCCCTAAATAGTAGCCAGGGAATTTGGTTTCTCTTTGTGCCATAAGTCAGTCTGTGGAGGTTTTTCACCAATAAGAAGCTCCTAAGAGATGTGGTGGCTGTCTTGGAATGCTTCCAGAAGCTGTTGCTCAGCCTATAAACTGATGAAACTTCACAGAGTCACAGCCCAGCTGAGTCTGGAAGAGGCTGCTGGAGATCGTCTAGTCCAAATTCCCTGCTCTGAGCAGGGTCAGTGAGGACAGTTTGCTCAGGGCCATGTTGACTCAGGTTTCAGATATCTCCAAGGATGGAGACTCCACAGTCTTTCTGCACAGCCTGTTCCAGGGTGTGGCCACCCTCACAGTAATTTTTTTCCTTACTATTTTTATGTGAAATGTCCTGTATTTCAATGTATGCCCACTGTTTCTTGACTGTCAGTGGGCCTCAAGGAGAAGAGTCTGGGTCTGTCTTCTCTACATACCAATCAAGTATTTATACATATTAATAAGATCCCACTGATTTTTTTTCATCTGAACAGTCCCAGGTTTCTCAACCTCTCTTCAAAGGAGAGATGTTCCAGTCCATTAATCATCTCCATGGCCCTTCACTGGACTCTCTCCCGTAAGGTCATGTCTCTCCTGCACTGGGAAGCCCAGGCCCAGACTCAGCACTGGATGTGTCTCACCAGGGCTGACTAGAAGGGAAGGATCCACCCTCCACCTGCTGGTGATGCACCTAAATTATAAACTGTATTTTTAATTATAAATTGTTAAAGTGCAGGGGAAAAAAATATTTAGCTGCCACTTAAACTATTAAATAGCATGCCCTGCAATTATGTGAATCTGTAGCACTCTAAGTGTTGTCTGTGTGGTAACATGATCCTCCCAAATTTGGTCAGTATTTTACTTTTGGGAATTTAACATAAAATACTTGAAGTGAGGTTTTCTTTACCTGCAGGATCTAGATTTAGAATCAGAAATCAATCAGAAGTCTTCTAGTGTGAAGGGCTTCCATCTGGGAACGTAAGAAATCTGAGTACTCTTGATTTGGAAGATGGACTTACATGCATCAGCTTTTTATTCAAGGAGAGGGTATTTTTAAGCCAAAAAGAAAATATACTGTATGCCACAGCTTCCAGGATTCCTTAAGTTGATCCTAGCTTCTTTTAAAATTATATTCTGTTTCTTTATATTCTGTTTCAGTTTTGCAGCCTGTGAATTTGCATCCTCTCTTTGATCTATTTTATTATGTTATAAATCTTTTGTGTTTTAATTTGCAACCTCTGGAGGCTATTTCTTGGTCTACAGCTATATCCACAGCTGCACCCATTCATGAGAAGTTGCTTTTAGAAATCCTGTATTTTGTTCTCGTGCAGAAACAGCACAACACTGGAATAATTGCCTGAGGTCCTTTTCCTAATAAACACCGGAGATTATTGTTGTCTGTTTATAATGATGTAAGTCTATGTTTTCTACACTGTAAAAATCCCTGGATTTTTTTCATTGTCAGTTTCTTTTGGTGAGAATGTACTCTTGGGAAGTTGTACCTGACTTCAGAATATGCTGAGAGTTTTCAACATACTCCATATTTTATACTGTCTGGAGCATACAGTTTGAAATAAAAATGAATGCGTCAACTCTTTGCTTCATAGATACGTGCCACAGTTAATGAGTCTACAAATGTTAATTGGCTATTAATTGCCAATATACTGTGCAAAATCCTGAGGCCAGAATGTGATTCTGAATTTGCAATCATCATAAGAAAAAGAAAAAAAAAAGAAGTTTGTTTTGTTTATTTGTTTGTTTGTGTAGATGAACTTGAATACTGAAATTAGGTTGGCAGAAGACAGTAAAAATATTTTTTCTGTATGAAAGAGAAGTTGTCATTACTGTGGCCAGGGCTCCTAGCTGGGAACAATCAACAATGTTGCAGGAAAGAGGAGAGACCCAGGGATGAGTCTGTGAAGCATCAAGTACTCTGCATGATGGTGGTCACAGTTATTAGCTAGTATGACAATTGTGAAAAGATCTAGTTATTTTGAACGGTGTCACAGGGTACGTGGTAACATGATAAAAAAGGGAATGAAAAGAAGATATTTTAATAATTATAACAACAACTCAGTAACAAGATGCATATATTGGAGAAAGTTTTCAAAATGGATGTTTATGAGGAAAAAAAAGGAAAATGACATCACTTTGGTTTATATAGTTTACTCCACTATAATTCAAATAAATTAATAATCGAACACTATCATAATCTATGTGAAATGAATGTATAAATCATTATAATTAATATTGATATAACAATTGAAAGTACTATTTGTAGGAAATCATATGCACACTTCAATTAAGCTGTAATATAAATGCAATTTAAAATGTAACTGCAGATTAAGTGTAACACTCAAGCCTGACTTCATGCAGAGAAACCTTTTCATAGGGCCCTAACTATTAACAATATCATTATCATTTTTAATAGACAAAAATGTCAGTGCTGTTAGACAATCAGAAATGCACCACCAAATCAGCGAATCACTTGTTTCTGGTACTAAAACAGCTAGCATCCTAGATTTACAAAACAATTACAAGAACTTGTTTTGATGATGCAAATCATAAAATCATAGAATGGTTTGGGTTGGAAGGGGCTTTAAAGGCCATCTAATTCCACCCCTGCCACTATGGACACGGACACCTTCCACTAGACCAGGTTGCTCTAAGCCCCATCCAACCTGGCCTTGAACATCCTTAGGGATGGGACATCGAGAGCATCTCTGAGCATCCTATTCCAGTGCCTCACTACCCTTACAGTGAAGAATTTCTTCACAATGCCTAATCTAAATCTACCCTCTTTTAGTTTAAAACCAACTCCTTGTCTTATCCCTACACAACCTGACAAAGAGTCGCTCATCAGCTTTCCTGTGGGCCCCCTTTAAGTACTGAAAGGCTGCTATAAGGTCTGCCCTTAGCCTTCTCTAGGCTGAACAACCCCAACTCCCTCAGCCTGTCTTCATAGGAGAGGTGCTCCAGCCCTTTCATCATCTTTGTGGCCCTCCTCTGGACTTGTTCTAATAGGGTAATAGGCCCATGTCCTTCTTGTGCTGGGGGCCCAAGAGCTGGACACAGGGTTTCAGGTGGGATATCATAAGATATCAGAGTAGAGGGAGAGAATCACCTGCTGGTCATGCTTCTTTTGATGCGGCCCAGGAGGTGGTTGGATTTCTTGCACACATTGCCAGCTCAAGCCCAGCTTCTCATCAACCAACACCCTCAGGTCCTTCTCTTCAGGGCTGCTCTCAGTCCATTCATTACCCAGCCTGTATTTTTGCTTGGGATTGTCCCAGCACAGATGCAGGACCTTGCACTTGGAAATAAATGTTATGGTAAACAGTGGATGCCCTTCAAAGAGTAGGGTGTTTTGGAGACAGTAGAGACTGATGGAAAAACAGGGAGGCTTTATGAAGCCATGTGGGAATGTGTGGGTTAGAGGGAGGAAAGCAGGTGGACAGAATGCAGCCAGAGAGGCTTGAGGAAGGAGTAGAGACGTGAGCAGGAGGTGGCAACCATGGAGCTATACCAACATAATGTACACTTGCAAGGAGCTTGCATGAGAATGTAAGGTGCAGAAGACCGTAAAGACATACAAGTAGGAACTAGTAAGTATGGGGGGATATTTTAGCTGTCTTTGTTTCTCACCTACATGTTTGTCACTGTCTTTTCACACTGGTTAGCAGGTAGGTTTGAAGACCTTGCTGCTGGAGTTACAGCTTTCACAAAGTGAGTGTGATAATCAGCATGAGAAAACACAGTTTTCTAACTCAGAGCCCTTCCCAGTTCTTCCCTTCCCAGTGTGACAGGCCTGTTGTATGTTGCTTCAGGAGGTCTATGTGTAGTCTAAATCATCTTGTTCTCTGTCTAGAGTAAACCATATGATTGGTTGATGCAGCATGACATAAATTACAGATTGTGCATAAATTGTAATGGATCTAACTCATCACAGCCTAAGTTAATTTAGAATTCACTTGCAAAACAAAAGTTTTTGTTCAGTTTTCACAGCTATCTGGAACATCTGTGTTATATATCTTAAGCTCTCACCTGTTTTGTGGATAGGCAGGACTTGGTATAAGATTGCTTTTTCTCATTCAAGTTCAGAGGAGAGACCTGCATAGACACCAGTACCTAGGAGGAGGCTCTAGGAGGCCATGGTGCTTTTCCAGACGTCATTGCTGAACTGCCTTCAGTTCTCTGTGCTTGCTGCATCCATCTGGGTTAGGACACTTTCTCCAGCAGAGTCTGCGAGCCATGGAGGGAGTGTTGCCACTGTGATTTGGGATAAAGCCACAGCCTAGCAGACCCACACACTCTTGAAACAGAGATACATTCATTGGAGACTTGACCGGGGGAAGAAAGGAATGCTGCAGTTTCACGGGGCCCCGTTTGCGGCAGTCGTCCTGGTGCTGGCTCTATTATTTATTGTTCAGATAGCAGTGCCCTTGCCAAACCACCCCGCCAACTATGTGGCTCTGGGTCTCTCTTGCTAATGTGTTGTCACGGTTCTCCCTTTGCCCCTTTCCTCCCACCTCCCCAGAAAACTTGAGTCAGTTTTTACGTAGTTTGTATAAAAGAAGGTTTGGTGCCTTTTACTGCTTAGCACGAAAAGCTGGGAAAGTTGAAAGGAGATTGATTGCCTTTCTCTGCAGGTAAGGGGACCACTGGCACATGTCCTACTCAGTCTCTTTCTTCACTCTCTTTATTGTCAGTAACTTGAAGTTTTTGAAGTAGTAATACGAATTGCTGTGGCCACTGATATTGAATCCTTCTTTTCCCTTTTTCAGAGAGCTTCCTCATTACTGCTAAGAACCATCCCAGCAGTTACACTGCCAGGCTTGACCCCAAATCATCGGCAAGATACACTAATCCCTTCTCACTGCCTGAAAGGATCTTACTCCCTTGCTGCTTTAGAAAGCTAACACCAGAACAAAACAAAACAAAAGACTATCCTCTCTGGAGCTGTAATCATCAAGCAACAAGCAGGAGTTACCATGGATTTTATTTCCATGGCATAGATAATATTGCCTCTTGATCTGTGAAAATGACTGTTCTCACCTATAGTACTTTGCTGTTTATCTCCAAAGAACACAAGTCTCTCACTCTATGGTGAGGCTCCTCTGAGCCAAGAAAAATAAGCTAAGTACTCCCCATAACATGTTGGGAAAGTCCAACTGTTCCTCATCTTCTTCCTCAAAATTAGATTTGGAGACATTCCAGTGTCTTCAGCTGTGAGGCAATTTTGTTTTCTAGTAAATCTCTACTTCCCAAATCATTTTCTCTGACTGACCATATATTTTTAATTCCCCCTTGATCCCTGTAAACTCCTGTCTCTTTTCTGTAGGGATTCTCAATTTCTCTTGCTGCTTTCCTAGTCCTTCTTACTGCTAGCTACTTGTTTACTGAGGAAGCAAGCAGGTGATACAGAAAAATGTGGTTTTCTCCTGGGAACCCAATTCATATCCTCAACTGGGATAAAAAATGTGTTTCAGTGTTATCAGAAAAAACAATCCTATCATTTTCCTGTATAGTGAAAACATCTTGTAGTGTGTTTTCCTAGAGAAAGTTGGAAAAATATACTATTTTCATATTTAATATACACTACATTTAGTGTTACAATACCATGAAATATTAATACACTTACAAATCTTTTCCCCTGGCCATTTCCCACGAAACTTGACTGACTGCAGCTTCTCTGATTTACTAATTCATATGCCTAAGTCTAGTGCAACAATGCCATGTTCAAAGATTTCTTTTGATAACAACTTTGAATTGAGTCATACTGTGAAGAATGTCTGTGATGATTTTCTCTCCTCCTTGTCTTGTGCTTGCAGAGAGGGTGACCTCATTGCCTGTTCAAAATTACTGTTATTTGTCTCCAATTAGGTTCTCACAACTCTGTGCTGCAGTTCCTTTAAACTCTTGGGAACCTGCAAGCCTGCTGTGGACAAGATGTTGTGGGAATTTCCCGGTTCACCCTTGGATAATAATTTTGCTATTCAAAGATCACTGTTCCTGGTATGCATGTATAAGAATAAGTTTCTCCACAATGGCAATTAGTTACAATGAGGAAAAACAAAACAAAACAAAACAAGACAAAACTGAAACATCACCCAGTAAGGATCCCTCCTGGCTATTTTAACATCTTGGCTAGAGAGCGAGGCTCACTGGCCTTGCCAGCGCACTTCAGGGCTTGACTGCCTTGAAGAATTGGCTTCTGGGAGACAGGCAACCAGTCTCTACTTGAAGCCAACAAAGAAATTCTTCCTTTTTATGTGTTCCTTGTTCTGTGTGATTTGGCCATAAGGTATCACGAGATTATCATTCCTTTTTTTTTTTTTTTTCCTAGTTCATGTATGTTTCTCTTACATACATTGGTAATAATTGGTAATAGAGTGTTCTGGTTCTAAAATAGAAGCACTTTCTCCTTCTTTGTAGCTACCCTACAAAAAAAAAAAAAAAAAAAAAAACAAAAAAAAAAACTTTTCTCAAATAATAATTTCCATGATTTAGAATACTGAATTTAAGGAAAATTTGCTCAAAGATTATGTGTATCTCAATCCACAACTGATTAACTGATTAGAAGATGCACTTGCTAGATATAGATTCCTGCTAACGTAGATGTATTTGCAGATGCATTTGCTTTGTTCAAAATTTGTAGAATTGTTTCAAGGGTTATGTCATGAATGTGTTATTTTTAGTGTCGTTATCATATGTAATTCAGTTTATGTAGTTAAGATTTAATTTTGCCACTCATGGTTTCCCTGACCAATCTCTGACTTTGCTTCACACATCTTTAGACATGTTACCTACAACATAGGTAACTCTGTGCACATTTAACAATATAATGTATGTACATGGTATATGTATTTGTATAAGCATTTGTATGTGTGAGAGGAATGCTGTGAACGTAGGATGCTCTAATCCTTTTATTTACTGCTAAGTCCATATTTAGTTGCAAACTGAGAAAGAACTAAAATTCCATCATTACAAAAAATGTAGGAACTGTACAGAGTGTGCAACTGTACTCTCCCTAGTGATGAAAGTAAAACTACTGTGCCAATTAGCCATGAAAAGGCTAAGGGGGGGAATCTAATTGCTGTCTTCAGCTGCCTAATAGGTAGTTATGTAGAATATTAAGTTAAACTCTTCTCAGGGGTATACAGGGAAAAGATGAAACAGGTTTCCAAAATAAAAATTTTGACAAGGTACAAGAAACATTTTATATATATATATATATATGATGAAAGCCACCAGCTGAGCACTAGAGCAGGTTGCCCAGAGGGGCTGTGGAGTCTCCTCCCTTGGAGGTGTTCTGAACTCAGCTGGACATGGCCCTGAGCTACTTGATGTAACTCTGAAGGGAGACCTGCTTCGAGCACAACATCAAGACAGATGGCCTCTGAGGATCCCTTGCAATCTATATTATTCTGCAATTCTACGTTCGCTTTATGAAGAATGATATAAGCATATTTAATTTAGAATAGAGATATAGCTCTGAAGATCTGCTAAGGAAACCACTGAAAGTCTGGGTAGTCCTATAGCTTATCAGTTGTCCTTGTAACTTATCAGTTGAATGAAAATATTATCCTTGAAAACTATTATTTGTTTGATTTGATTATTCTTTTTTTTTTTCCATAACCTGAAGAGTTTTGTTTTTATTTTATTTTATTTTATTTTATTTTATTTTATTTTATTTTATTTTAATTTTATTTATTTTTCCTCAATTATACATATCAAGAACACATTCTAGAATAAAAACATATCTTATGTACCTAGTAATATGATCAAGAATGAGCTTTGACACATTTAGATTACGTTATTTACTGGTACTTATGTCAGAAGGTTCTATTTCTTTGTTGCACAGTGATTTTGCCCCAAGCTCTGCATAGCTCTTTTTCTTGATCTGCGGGCCTTGTACAGGCCTTCTGAAAATAGTTTCCACTGCACACAAATAAGACAGATTTGACCTGGATTAACTGGAGCAAATACTCCTAATGAGCCAGATGGATGAGCATTCCCGTTTGGCAGAAATGATAGTTACAATGTTTGCCACAAAAATGTCAGCAGTTGCCTTGGTTTTCTCCTAGAGAAAATAAATAATATTCATCTTGGTCCAGAGTGGTTGAGTAGTGACTGCTGTGAAGCATTTCCTTTCTGAAACCTCGTCTTCTGTCATTACCAATTTCCCAGGGAGGGTACAAACCTGGAACTGTGAATGAGATCCCCCCCATGACCCTGCCTGGGAACAGCACCTGCCATCTAGCCTTGAGCTGGGTAAAGCATCTGACCAAGTACCACTTTAGTTTAAGTAGGTGGTCTCCAGAAAGGCTGATTTAATAAGATTTACATTCAGGGAGGGAGGCAGATTCTTCTGTCATGTAGTTTTGGTGTTAATGGAACAGAACCTCCCTCCTTTCTACCTTTAAACTTCAATTTTCTCTTAAATTTATTATGTACATTGAATGCTGGCTTCACAAAAGCTGATGGGTATTATACCTCTAACTCAAATTTACTGATCAAAGCCTTGCTTGTTTTGCCCATGAGCAGCATGAAGATGGAATTATTCTGAAAAAAAGCATGTAGGTGGACTTGCCAGGGAGGTGTGGAGGAATTTATTTCATTTATGTGCCTTGGGTGGAAAGTGGGGAAAGATCAGAGAAACTGCTCTCAGGTATCTGTCAGGTAATACTTTGCAGAATATAGCACTGAAGATCCCAACTGTCCCCTGCCCAAGCACAGAAAGCCTCTCTGTGTGGATGTTCAGGCTGCTCTGGCCTGGCAGAAAAAGAGTGTGGCTATCCCTGGCTGACCAGCCTTGTGAAATATTACCTCGGTGCTGCCTCTTAGACAAATGTCGATGTGCTGTGTGCAGCTTAAACAGATGACATTCTCAGTGCAGCTCTTTTATCACCACCCCTTCTGCCATCTCATTCAACTTCAGAGAGTTTTCCCCTGGACTGAAAGTGCTTTCACAAAGCATGAAAAGGATGGGGTATCTGACACATGCATGTCAGCTGCCCTCACTCAGCTCTACTGTGTGCTTGTGCTTGTGTCATCTGCCTTCCCAGAGGAGCAGGGGAACACTTCTGAAATAGGCTTCCATTAGTTTTGAATAGGTATAGATACATACGAAAGCAGGGAAATACACTTAAAAGACTGAGTGTAATAGAGGGGATTATGTGCAAAGGGATTGGGTTCTCCTACTTAGACACTGAAAGGGAACAGGTCTGTTCCCCAGGGCAAAAATTCCTGCAAATTCACTGGCAAACTGTGAATGACACATAAAGGCCATGTAACTTAATAGCTGCTCTTCCAAATTCTGTTTTGACCTTTCTGCTATAAAAGGCAATTCCTTAGAGTTTCCAAAAGTACAGTTCATTGCTCTTTGGTTTAGTGTTACAGAGCAGTGTAGTAAGTAATAGACCTTATTACAGTTACTTTTTTTCTCTTTGCAAAACCATTATACACCTCTTTGACCTTTACAATAAAAAATGCAAATACAGTTGAGCAAATGTTTCCAGTATTTATTTCTGTTATTAAAAATTATAAATGAGTGTTAAACCATATGAACTGTATAAAGCTTGTTTTATTTTATTTTTTTACCTGTTGTTTTGATACTTTTTCTCAGTTCTCCTTCATCCCTTATCCTACTTTGTTCTTAGTCCTTTTCTTGTTTTTTTCCTCTACTTTTGTCCGAACAAACTAGAACAGAATTTTCTGTACACCATGGGATTATATGACAAAAAAAAAAGCCTGTAAAGCACAATAAGTCAACCATATAAAATTGATAAGGTATTTGCAGTTTCCTGCAGCCCTGGGCAGCCTGTTAATCCTTTCCTTCCGCTTATAAACTTAAAACCTCAAGGTGTTTTTGTTTGCCCTTTTTTCCCCTCCTTGAGCTTGTTTGTTTAAATGGGAACCTATTACTAAACAGTGTGTATATATGAAAACCAGAACATTACCAAATTAATGATGGAAGCAAGAATAATCATAGAACTTTTTGATTGTTGGGAGAACAAAGCAATTTGCCCTTCAGGGGTGTGACCATAGTAAATGCATCACTTAGCTGTTTTCCTATTAATCTTTAGGAAAAAAAGGAAGTCCTTTTCCAAGATCATCGATGTATTATTGCAAAACTATATGAATTGAAAAAAAATAATAAATAAACTGCATGTTATCTTACATACAGATTTTATTTCTGCTTGTGGGTGAAGTTACCTGTGAGGACACATATATTGGTTTTAAAGGTGGAAGCAGGGTATCCATTGCTGTCATGATATCTATTATTTTTGTGGTTTCCATTTTCCCGAGGGGAAGAGAGTGAATTTTGTGAAAAAGTGAGATAGAACTTGAAATAAACACTTCATGGGCAGGTTTTTTATTATTTTGTTCAACCAAGTTCTTGAATATTTGGACAAGCACACACAAATAATGGTTCATCAGCTAATGGTTCATCAGTTAACTCTTGCTCTGACACACAGTTTTCTGCACTCTATGAAATTTCCTCTACTGAAGTAAGTGCATATAATTTACTTGACTTTAATTGAGGATCTGGACTAGGGTTTGATCTCTTTTTAGAACTTGTCCAACTTTTCCCTTTATGGCCAACAATGTAGTACCACATTTCTTCTAGCTGAATACATGTACTATAAATAAAAAGTAACTAATGACCTTTAAATAGTTACCAGTGGGCAATTTTTAACTTGTAATAGTTTCAAGTTATTTGGATGTCCTGGCCTCACTGCAGTATGTAGCACATTAACGTTCCTGAGCCTACAAGGACATTTACTATGAATTGCGACAGTGTTTTCCTCAGTGGTGGCTTCCCAGCTTTTCACTTAGCCTTCTGATCTGGGTGACCATACAATGTGATAACAGTAAGGAGCTCTGTAAAATACTGCTGTTGTGGGCAATCTACCAGAAAATAGATTTCAGTCAACAGCTACCTCCTGCACCCCTCCTCTGCACAGACACACACACAAAGCACGTTCCCTGGAATTTAGAAACTACCCATTACTGGCTGGTGAAATACACTGCAAACCACAATAGCTGCATTAAATTTCAACACATATGCCATCTGCATCTAAATACAAAATAGAGGTTGCAGGCTAAGATTTAGAAAAATGGGGAAATCTTATGTTCTGACATAATAGTGTTGAAACCAGCTTTATACAGAATAGACTTTCATGCTGGGAATTTTTATTTTTTATTTTTTTATTTTTTTTTGTACAAATAAAAACCTATTAAACTGTCATTGGAAATGATGGTCTTGTTAAGTGGTAATCCTCAACACCAGAGGACAAAAATTGAGCATGGTAGTATATGGTCTCTGTACATACATGCTTTCCTAAGCCTGTGGAATGACAGAGTGGCGAATATGTTGCTTGTTTCCTGTTTTAATTATATCTTTATTTTCTGAGCATGTTGCATTAATTAAGCATAGTTGGAGCAATATTATGGAATACAG